ATGGCCTATTCGTGTTAGATCCTGATGGTTTGAATGTTCTTAATCTGATCCTAAATCTATATGAGAGATTTAATAAAATGATCGAATAATTCACTCGATGATTCAATGATCTTTAAATTCCTCTTGACAGACTTTATACAGAAATTTCAGAAAGGGAAACAATTGGGATCGCGCAATTACACCACTTAGCTCCAAGAACGAAATTTCACAAAAAAATTCAAATCACAAATCGCTAAGCAAAGAAACAATAATAATGCCTAAATTTTAAAGAGAACATAACCTAGTAAATTGTGGTGCATGTTACTTATGTCGATAGACATAAGTAGCGTGTCACAACAATCAGAAGTGAAATGGCTGTCAAAAGAAGGTTGGGAAGATTGCATTGAAGAAAACAGAAAGGAAATATGATTTGAAAGATTCAGGGAGGACGTAAAGGACAATTGATGGAAGATTTATAAATGAAGCGTTTAATGTATCGTTTTTATATTTTATGAAAAAACTATAATTTTACATTAAACACTACAAATGAATACTGAGAAAAAAGAATTTTACAACAACAGAGTTACAGATTATGGAATCATTGATATTAGGAAAAAGTGACAACTATAAAAGTGCATCTCATTGATTTCTTCAAGTACATCAGACGATCTATACGACTTCAACTAACAAGATACAGGCAATTGTAATTCAAGAAAAATTAATGAATACCTACAGTGGGAAAAATTGTTTTAGGAAGTTATCAGCCCATTAAAAAATGCAACAATATAAATAGTGAATATATTGAAACGCATAAAGAATTAAAAGAGATTAATGACATTAGGGAATTAATAACAAACAAAGTGAATTGAAAATCAATTTTAAAAAATTATCAGAAAAGAACAGTATTTTCTTTTTTCCTCAGACAAACCATGAAAAACAAACAGCAAAAAAAAGACTGAGCAATGACAAAAACGGACAGACACAAACATATAATTACACTCAAATACACACATACACAGCACAAAACTGTATCCATGAAGTTGTTTAGTTTTATATGCATTTAAATAAATAGCAATGAAACGGAATGATGTATAATATACAAAGGAAAATTTATAATTTAATAGTTGAATTCAAGAATCAGTTAAAGCTAGACCATCACGGAAAACTTGGAAGCACTGGACAGCCGATTTGTCCTAGTATGGGAATCATCGGCAGTGTGTATCCACAATCCTGTTCGTAGGATTCGACTGGGTTCAATAGGTATTTCCCGGAGATCTAGTGAGAAGCCGTGATCGGTGGTGTTCAACCAGGTAAGTTGTGCGATAGTAACTCACTGAAGACAATGGTGGACGGTGGAGCAATTTCGTGGATTGGTTGAAGTTAAACATTAACACCGTTAGATGTCGACTCAGTGGTCTAGAGGTTAAGCGTTCGTGCACGAGACCGATAGGTCCTGTGTTTGAATCCAGCAGGCGGGATCGTGGATGCGAACTGCCGAGGAGTCCCATACTAGGATGAAAAGGCCGTCCAGTGCTTCCATGTTGTCCATAGTGGTATACCTTTTATTAATTCATGAATTCAAATATTACACTACTAAAGTCTCCACAAAACTCTTCTGATGAAAATTTATAGTTGACAATTAGCATAATCATTCAGTTATGAACGAAGGCAGAGAGGACGATGGACGAAAGTAAGCAATAAATAGGACTAGGAAAATTCATTTCATGTGTTATAACAGGAAATAACAAAAAGAAATTCACCAAGTGGTTTTATAGGGACCACGAAAAGGAGTTACCAGTAAGAATTATACACGATAACTGAATGTAACGGTTATATATATATATATATATATATATATATATATATATATATATATATATATATATATATATATACCAGAAGCAAGGTAGCACTTAACTTGTTGCATCCTTTTAAAAGGAAGAAAAAACAGAGCAGACGATGAGAAAAAATTTAATCGCTGAAGGATGTATAATGAGAATTCAAAAATAAATTATTTGATACCACCAAAATACAGAGTAGGCATGGCAAAATGCATCATAACTCATTGATACACAAATGATTATGTAGTGTTAATACAGTTGAGTAGTTCGAAACGTGTTATCAAATACTGTGACGCTTCATTTCTTGTGAATAATCGATCTGGAGAAGCTGACCGCAATATGTTATCTATCAACTAAATAATCAATTATACTGTTATCAATATGTCATACGACTGGAAGAGAGAAATGAAAATGGCGAGAGATTTGCAAATCTATGTGCATTCAACAAAATGGTTATAGGCAGCACAATATTCCCACACAGACGCATACACAAAGCTACATGGATCCCACCGAATCACACTACACAGAACCAGATAGATCATATTTGTATCAATAAGGAATGGATCTCTATCGAAACCCCGGAAAAGATTCAAGAAAGGAAGAACAAGACAGCAAATAACAACATCCGAACAAGAACAGCCAAAGTCAAGACACAAGCTGAATACATAGAAGCAAACCATCAAGTGAAGAAGAGCATTAGAGAAGACAGGCCTAACAACGAAAGCCAAAAATGCTGCAACAAAAGGGATTAGGAAACAACTGATAGGGAGACATAGTAAATAAGAGGGACCGCTCAAGAACAAAGAAGGAAAGAAAATCACTGAGATCCAAGAGCAGAGGAATGACGTGTAGAACACTTTGAGCAGCTCTTGAACAGATCAGTTACATGAACCGAAGCAGCACACACAAACCTTCCTATAGATGTCACACCACCGACGACCGAAGGAATCAGGATGGACATCAGACAAATCAACAGTGGAAAAGCAGCAGGATATGACAATATATCAGCTGAAGCACTGAATTGAGACACAGAAGTAATTGCAAATATGCACCACTTTCGATTCAGGAAGGACACCTCATCAAGATATCAAAGAAAGGAGATCTGAGCATATTTGAAAACATCAGAGGTATCACACTACTGTCAGTACCAGGAAATGTTTTCAACAGTGTTGCTGAACCAGATGGGAAACTCAGTAGATGAAAAGTCCCGACAAGAATAATGAGTGGTAACTTTCGGGATCCATTTATGCTTGGAGGACAGCTCACAGACTCATCCAGAGTAAAGACCGGTTTCAGCCAGGGTTGCTTACTTTCACCCTTTCTCTTTCTCCTGGTGATCGACTGGATCATAAAGACCACGACATATGAGAGGAAACACGAGATATAATGGACAGCTCAGAACCAACTAGACGATTTGAACTTGGCAGGTGACCTAGCACTCCTATCCCATACACACGAACAAATGCAGATGAAGGCAACTAGTGTAGCAGCAGTGTCTGCGTCAGTAGGCATTAACATACACAAAGGAAAAAGCAAGATCCTCAAATACGGAACGGAGAACTTCAACAAAACCAATCACACATGATGGCGAAAATCCGGAAAGCATCAACGATGAATGTTGAGAATCTGATGCAGATATATGGGCAAGGATCGGCAAAGCAAGGATAGTATTCCTAAAAATTTAAGAACATATGAAATTCAAAACAACAGTCAACGAATATGAAAGTCAGAATTTTCAATACGAAAGTCAAGACAGTCTAGTGTGTGGAGCTGAAACGTGGGAAATTACTATAACCATCATCAAGAAGGTACATGTATTTATAAATAGTTGTCTACACAGGAAACTCAACATCCGGTGGCCGGATACCATCAGCAACAGTCTTCTGTGGGAGATGAAAAACCGACTGTTAACTGAAAAGGAAATGAGGAAAAGTGGTTTGAAGTAGATAGGACATACATTATGGAAATCACCAAACGGCATCACGAGGCAAGCCCTAACTTGGAATCCTGAAGTGAAGCGGTAAAGAGGAAGGCCAAAGAACCCATTAAGTTTGAAAATAGAAGCAGATATGAATAACAACTGGAAAGGATCGTTCACGACAGGGTTGGATGGAGAGTGCTGGTGGGTGGCCTATGCTCCAACACGAGGAGTACCAGGCATAATTAATTTATTATGTAACATGTCATACGTTCACCGACGACTACGATCATATCAGCAAAATAATATTTCCCTCGTAAAAGGCCACAATGTGGCCTCACAAAAAATCCAAATTCATATCATAAGCTGACTGCAGTCACCAATCGTTTCGTCCTGGTATAGGACATTGAGTAAGTTTGCAAGATGACCCTGCCGAGGATAGAACCCAAGAAACTGAGGTTACGTAGAGTGAGCTCAAAGATTAGATCACCGGCTGACACACATTTCCGCTTTAAATCAATTAGTGATATACCAAAACAGTTAATGGTTGCTCCCCGGCTTACAATCGTATCCCCCGGTAAATAAATTAAACATATCTCCATAAAAATTCCTCATAATTGTTATAATCATGAGCTCACTAGTTGAGAACCCGAAGAAATCCTGGAGCCCTAGCAGGAAGTGGTAACCAGAATTAAAACATATCCAGAATGAAACAGTCAATACTCATGTTTTCGGATAAAAATTTCAAAAGTTGCACTCATCTAAAAACCATCCATTAAATAATATTATAGAAAAAATTAAATAAAAGGAAAATGGAAATCTGCAATCCGTACTAATACTATACCATATTGTAATATGACTAACAAGAAAAGACAACTTCATTTATCGCATAAACAAACTAAAAATCGAAATGCTTAAATATTGCTTCAAAATATATTTAGATACACAGATAAATGATGTAAACAATTCAGGTTAACATTTTTCACGAGAATAAATAGCTCATTTTTCTTTAAACAACATTTATATTCACAACAGTTGGATACGTCAGTACAAATGTACTTAATATAGACAAACATACTGGAATTCTGCCATTACAACCATATTGCAGTGTCAGTATGATGTGTGGCAATCTGCAGTGATACGAATTTGTACCAGGCTTAATAATATCAACAACCGAATGATCAGATTTTTTGTTACAATGATATATTTCTATGACTAGAAAACGATTCTAGAAATAAAACACTATGGTCAAAATAACTTACTGCAGTTTCAAGATTTATTTCTCGACGACTGAAGTGTAATAAACAAGTATGATAACTGCTTGCAGTTAACAGTTTACGGGAATCCGAGCAGAAGTGCATAAAATGTATGGCAAGAGGATCGCTTTCAGTTGCTAACAAAATCGAAGAATATTGAGCATTGATATCTTTTGCATCAGAAAGTGAGGTACTGCCTGTTTCAACAGGATTAGATGTACTAGTTGATGGGTTTGCAAACAACTTCGAAGTACGAAACTTATAGAGTGGCGTCAACGAAACTAGAAAAGGCCAAAATAGAAAATTTGTTTTAAAAGTTTGTGAGTTTGAATTCGTGGATAACATATGATGAAAAAGCGAAACACGTTCACTATTTACTCTAAAGTTAATTAGGTACGTTGGAGAATTAAGGCCACTCTAGTTTATATTGTCAAGTGGGTATCAAACCAATAAAAGCTGAGTTAAATAAAACACTGTTATTTCAACAAAATTCCATGAGTGTGTGTTGAGATAAAATCATAACAGTCAAAACCTTGAAGAGCCATACCTCTATATAAATTCCAACAAAACCGCAATAGAAAGTAAACAGGCAATGTGTATTTTTTTTTAATCAACCATTCATGATTGTATACACAACTCTATTCTACGAAAAGAAATTTATCATTGAATGGGAACTAAATAGGTTGATTAGGACGTGTTATTTACATTGAGACAATGAAGTTCATATACTAAGGTGTTTTGGATGACTGTGGACTTCATCCTTTATCCTAAACAAGAAAATAAACACTAGATATTTAAACCACTTTCATTTAGTTGAAAACATGCAGAAGTTGACGAATATGGATGAACATTGAGTCCTAATCTAGATCTGTAATACAACACCAGAAAATCTACTTCGACAATTAAGTACAAGTTTGCATAATCAATCGTGAGACAGAATGTGTGGTTTTAAAAGGGCAGTTACTCTACATTTGAAACGATATCTATTAATATGATTGACCACAGAAGGATTTTTTTTCATGAATTAAAATGCGCCTTTGAGTACGTAAATAATTTTAGTCGGTTCGGAACTACTGATGATTCTTACTGCCAGTACATCAATTTTGTTTTACAAAATGAAATCCGAAAGCGCATTTTAAACTTTCACTACTATTTTATTGACAAAAAAATGCTTGAGTGGAAAAGTGATAAACGGTAGTCATAGGTAGAGCGAGTAAACAGAAGCAATCAGTGTAGAAATGATCACAAAGAAATAGTGTTACATTGAAGAACAACGTAAACTAAACAAAATATAAACAAACCTTCGGATGCATCCCAAAATCGAACAGATCCATCAGCATGTCTATAAAATGCGCACAGCGAAAATGTGATAATTTGTTAGAGGCAGCTTATACAGAAAATATTAATGAATCCAATGCCAGTTCTAATGAATAAACTAAAACACTTAAGTACAATGTCTGAACCTATCTAAAATCTTGGTATGATACTAATGGAAAAACATTTTATATGAATTCGAATGTAATCATCCAATGCATAGATACAGCTGTAACATACTGGAAGTCAATCAATATAATTCACACCTGTGGCCAATAATAGGAATTTTTCAAAGATGAATACACAGAATCCGTATTACATGGACAGTAACCTCTAGTCTTAAATGGTTGAGTAAATATTATCCATTTCAGTTTGTTCTACGTAGAAAACATTGCTCCCAATTCGAAATAATAAAATAGATGTAAGTGTTGAGACAATTAGTATTACGCGATAACATTTAGCCACTAAAGATATGTATGAACAAATGATTTGTCTACTGACAATAATAATATGTTTTTTCTACAGTGAGAAATAAAAGTGATATAACCCATGTGCTTTTGTTCACGAATCTATTCAAACAACTTTGATGTTATCTAATAAGTTGGTAGGTTGCTCACTTATACCAGATTCTAATAATGTATACACACTACTTCACTAAAACCAACTGATGATATAATTTTTAATATGAAAATAGACAGCATTACCCACTCATTTCAGTCCATCAAAAATGAATGAGTGGTTAGAACTGATTGTTCAAAGCAGAGCTGTCAATAAGCGGTAATTAATGTAAAGGCATACACCAAAAGGAAACTTAAATGGTTTCCTTTACTGTCAACTATTAACGATTGTCTACATCACCTTCTTTCCTCAGTTTTTAAGCAAAGATACATGTTAGATCTAAAAAATAAATACACTTTCCATCAAATAAAACTGAATAATTTTTGTCACATGCAGGATAAATGAAAAGCTTCACGACATTATTGAAAGAGGACGATATCCATAATGAATAGATGGCTTAATGATATACTTATTTTAATTATCATGAAACGAACTAAACTTTCTCCCATACTTCTACTTTTCATAAGATTAGAGATTTGATATTGGTGAACTCTCTTAGTATTTGACTTGAGTGATGGTACCGAATAATCAATTACTTTTATAAACATTATAAATCACAATCGAACCATTCCTAGACAGGAATATCTGAAAATTACAAGAAACTGAGTGCTGACTTATTCAAGATGCAAATTCTCAATGGGACAGTGCTTAGTAGGAAATATTTTAGGGTAATTATACCATCCTAACTGAGGAAAGAAGATTGAATCTGCAAAAGTTACTCAAATTTAAACGTAATTGTCATCACAGAATAGTAATGGATGTAGAAGCTCAAACAAGGTAACTACACTGATTTCCCTTCGCTAATATGTGTGTACACCGAATAGTGGAACAATTAATATAAAAGTCAACAGAAAAATAACTGAACGCAATAAAGTATAATATTATTGATAAAATACCCCGTTATGATTAATTCAGGAACTTGTTGATTACTTAATCGCCATTCTCCTCCAGTAATAGGCCATTCGCGACTGCTGAACACATCAGGTTCAGCACACGTGCCACTTTGAGTACGATTCCGACGACTGCTAACAGAATAGAAAGCAGGTATCAAGTCTCCAGGACAATCAACTAAATATAAACAGCTGGTGACAGGAGAACTATGCAAATCCATTGGATATGGGTTTTCAAATGTTGCGAAGCTTCAAAATTAAAAACAAAAATGGTAAATGGTTCAAGTATATTCACAGGAAATTTAAAAGAAATCTAAAAGATACTTAGGAAAAAACAATCAGTATCCTTACTTTGTAGATAAAAGATCAATAACAACAAGATCTTCTTGTAATAATATGGCAACTGCATAAGGATCCATTGTCTCTGAAAAAAAGAATAAGTATTAATATTACCGATCAGAATGTAAACGTATTAGAAAAGATTTTGAATGCAGCTTCACAATAGATAGTGATTACTATGATAGCGTTTAATGTTTCGTTAGTAGTGTTAAGTCCGAATCTCCAGATATGTATCAACAGCTAAATAGATGTAAGTATTATCCATCTAATGAGTGAAAAATAAGATGAAACACACGGCTTATATTAACCGTTGATCTTTACTAAGCACGTACTTTGGACATTTAACCATGCGTAAACAACCAGACAGAAAGCAATTAATTAAAAATACAATTTGATCTTAAACCTCGCTTAATAAAAAGACAAGGAAAAACTGAATATTTTGTACAATTTTACTGATTAGAGACAATAATATTCGGACGAAATATAATTTACTGTGTTCATGTCTGCACGAAATAATTTAAGCTGAATTTATAATTAAGTTTTTCCTAGCACAGTATAAGTTCCCTAAGTTTATTGTCAATTTTTTTCCTATTTTTTCTACTGTATTTAAGTTGCCACATATCATTAATTATAGCAGTAATTAAATTGTGAATAATTTGTGGTCGTGTATAAGTCGTTTCCTTGTATCTCGTACGTGCGCGTTTATAAGGATTTCATCAATACGGTTGTACCTTCTAGAGGAACCAAACATGACTTCAAACCAGTGGGGGACAAACATTATGCATTGTTAAATTACTTTATTTCTTGTCTAAGTAAGAATAGAATAAGCAGAACGAATGCAAATCACATATGTGAACAAATAACGTGACACTTCTAGTTAGTGTTCTTAACATTCTGATAGAATGATTGTTGGAACATTTTTATTCATAATAGCCTTCAGAAAAATATATGTACAAAAAGCAAAACAGAAAATGCATCTCAAGAATAGATACTTTGTTTCAAAAATAGCCCGCCGCATATAAGGTGTGATATCTTTTCATTCCGATGTTACTTAGGAAAACGTATCTTAAGATATGGAATAAATAAGGATCAAGCAGAAGGTTAGATTATAAACAAACGTAATTTTGTAGCTCATCTTTGTTTTCACTAAGCACAAATAAAACAGTATCATTAAGCAGTTTTAATAAAATAATTCTGTTTACCATAACAAATGGAAATGTCACCATATACTGGTTTGCTTGAGTGACGATATTATATTAGTAAACTATGTGGCAGTTTATGAAACAATTGTACACAAAGCCAATAGATCTGTAAGTCGATTACAACTTGGAATATCAGGTATCAGTCAGTCAGCTACAACGTAAGACCAGACACATATATGCATCGGTCCAAGTCGCCATACCTCATTAGCACAACAAGATGAACACCAAATTCATAGAAGTAGTTGATTCAGTGGTGGTTATATATAATAGAAAGATTGCATATAAGAACATAGTACAGGAAGAAAGAATTAGTTCGTAGAATGAAAGATATGAAGCGACTTGAATCTCATAGTTTAAGGGAAGACAAAGAGTATATACACCTACGCCATTGTGATAGATTCTGAGCCATGTCACCCACAGTCTCCAACCATTGGTAACAATAGTCACGCGGACCCCAACCAAGTAGTCTGCATCTACCAACATGGTTCAGACCAGAAGTTAGTGACTTCAAGCACTGGTGCCATGTTTTGGATTGGTCGACGCTAACTTAAAACCATCCGAAATACTGGCTAGTATCAAAATCAAAATAATTCAGCTCACTAACAAGTAACTGTACACAGGCAGTCATTCCGAAGAGACATGTAAATAAAAGTTCTCACATAAAGAATACCTATTTAATAATTTAACTTAGACCCAATAAAAAATAGACAGTGAACTCAATCAATCAATACCAATAGAAAGAAAAGAAAAGTGAGAAATCTATTACGTACCACTTGTGTAAGGAGACATACAAAGAGTTGTAAATTGAACAAGTTTATGATCCAATTGTAAAACAACCAACTTTTTGCCTCTTTTGATAGTCAACATATGATTACTAGAAATCATACATGATGATGATGATGATAAATTTGGGTCATTTTCAGATAAATCTGAATTAGGTAACGACGTCGAGGAGACATTAGTAGTAGCTACTGATGAATGAATGACAGTTTGAGCTCCAGGAGAACGGCCACCACCAGAAAAGATAATGAATGGTTCGCTAAAGTAAAAGAGATGTCAAAATTAGTGACAAATTCAACACACTTGAAGTTCCATGATGAAGATAATAAACACATTATGATCTAAACACTGTATTGCTCACGTACTTTTACAAATTTTTGATATCTAGTAAGCTGGTATCAAAAGATGACCCTAAATAGAGTGGGTATCAATCGAAGACAATCTAAATTACGATATCTATGAATCGTTTCCTTTTTCTCTTATTGGAAAGACCTTTCTTCTTATCAATAAATCTTTTTCCTATTTATTTCCAATGAATTAAAAACGCGTATAACTTCAGTGTATTCTTTTGAAGTCAGTTTTGTGAAATGTAAATTGATCAACGTTTCTTTGCCTCAACATTTTGTATTATAGATAGGTGTATCAAATTGAATAAATTCAAAAACAAGTAGCAACAAAATGGAACGGAAATCACATGAAACGCATTCATGTCTAAGCAATAAAATCTTGTGTTAAACACAGGGTAGTTTGTTATGTGACACATGCTAGGAATTTAATTTCTTTTTAAAATTTATTTACTAAATTCTTTATTTTATCTCATTAAGTATAAGTGGAAAATATCAAAAGAAGTTATCGCAAATAATATATATATATATATATATATATATATATATATATATATATATATATATGAGGAAGAAGAAGAGAATTTTCCCAAGGGGACTCCTTCATTTTACTATTCTTCTAAAAAAAATGGGATTTTTTGTGGACAAAGTAGAAACCGCAGAAATAAGTGATTTGGTATATATTGTAACAAAAAGAATGGGGTTTCACTTTTAGCATTAACATATTCACACAAACATATATCTAGCTACCTTAAACTGAGAGAAATTAGCAGGAAACTCACACACAGAATGGAATATCATACACAGTATATGATACTGAATGCATGCATACACAATTTAATTAATATATGTACAAAAAGTAGTAGACGATCATAAGAGTGGATTAGTTTCCACAGAATCTCATCAGAAAAAGTAATATTATTAAACAACAACAACCCTGGTAATTTAAATAATATAGAAAAACAGTACAGAATGATAACAATTCCATTGACATTTATGGAATTATAAAATACCACTTAGCCATAATGTGAAAATTAGACAAACTTGATTGCGAGTGATAATAATATTTAATTTACCTAAAGTGAAAAAAAACAGGACTGACAAATACACTTTTTCCGTAGATATTACAAATAAACAAAAGTATAGTACATGCAACTGATACATATCCTTTTAAAATATATTCTAGCAAACAGATATTCCATTTATTTTACAATATAATATAAAAGGGAACAAACGATAGGAACTGTGAGAGAGTGCATTTGACTAGCATAGAAATGTTTTAGTAATAATCATAATAGATGTTAATTTATCGTAACGACATATAAGCTTACAATCAGTGTAACGATGAAGATAAATGATTATTCTATGAACATTTATAATTAGCTGTTTTTTAAAAACTCTAAAGGAGATTTAGTATAAAATGATCTGGTGGACATGTCAGTGATGAATGGGGAGATTTGGAAACCTGAGGATTTTGAGCTGAAATTATTAAACCACTATATGTAGTCAAAATCTACGCAAACGTATAATAGCGATCAGTAAGGCAAGAATTTCAAATTAATAACTCGAGAAATAGTGTGCGATTTTTCCAACAACGAATAGCTCCATACAAGTAAACAATAAAACATTGATGAAACACATGATTTTTCAAAGTATATATATAGAAATAATTAGCCCAAAACAAGTTTCTAGAGAAGAGATTAACATGCTTTCAAACAGCTTTGCAAATAAAGAATTAAAGGTGGCCTAAAGTAATCACTAAATTATTGAATAAACGAAGCCGGATTCTTGGTCGATAGGACCTGACACACATGACCATGATCACCACCCAGTGATCAATCAGCTGTAAATGAAAGCCGGATTCGTACATGAACTAAATTTTGAATAATTTAACTGAGATAAAAAATCTTTAATATACAATTGCAAAGACACGTATTCCGAATACAGAAATCTCTAGCAGATATGATACAAGCAAAATGAAACAGTGAACATGAAGTTTACAAAACTGAGTTTTTGTAATATTTTGTTTAATGCCTAAGAATTAAATAATTTTGGCGAATTCCGATTATACATGTAATAGACAGAAAATATGAAAAAAACAGAAAAATGAATGAAAAGCAATACTGACGGGCTATTATGAATTCAAAACATGGAAACTAATTTTTGTGCGGAAAACAAGCTGTGTTTTGGCTCGAATCAAGATTTCACAAGATGACTCTCCAATATGAAAGGCATTACAATCGACACATTCTAATAAGTAAACATAATTCTGTATCGACATAAAAGAGATCTTATCCTCTGTACGAACGATAATATTTCGAAGGGAGTTAGTTGTTTTGTAATATGATTTAATTCTGTATTGTTATAAGAATCCTTGGAGTTCTGTGGTACTATGGCGGCATGGTAAAACTACAGCAATCATCCATTGCATTTCATTCGAACTATTTCTTAGCAGCAAATCGATTTGTTTTACTGCAATTTTAATAATCTTTATAGGAAAATTATTAAATTGCCCAGAGATATGTACGCACATAATGGATGTGCTGAATTGAAGTCAATAGAAGGATTTAAGTGCGTTAGTTTTCGGAAGATAATTAGATTAAGAGCTCCACTTAGATTTCTTTTAACTAAAAATGATATGCGACCGTGTTTAATATCATGCAGGTAGGTAGATTTAATGTTTGATGATAGTGTATTGATTAGTTTAGAAAAACATTCGTAGGAAAGGTGTTTTCACAACGATAAAATTATCATCCAGATATCTGGGACAAATTCGTCATTTAATGTCATTGGCGAAAATATTTGATTGGGTACAATCGAAAACATGAGGGATCTCATTGCCACTCGTTTTGTTTGCTTGTATAACCACCATTGTTAACCTTTTTATAGAGAGAATGTTATTATTTAAATATGTCGAAGACCGACAAACAAACAATGAATAGATTCAAGAAAAAGAAAATCTTAACAATTAAGTCTAGTTCTAATGGTTGAAGAATCGTTCATAATCTCTCATACAGATAAGCAAACGACCATGAAATCACTCTACCAGAGAAAGGATTAAAAGTCAATTTTCATAGAAAACCACTTAGGACTCTAGAAATTGTTCCACCACTAATCGAACAACTGCCAGTAAAAGTCTCATTTACCACATCAAAAAACATCCCACATTTCGACCAAACAAAAACATCTTACACCTAACATTTCATAAAAACTGATAGCTTCACACTCATTTAAAAAAATATAGGACTGTTGTAATCACATGAGCTGACACAAGCAAAACACTAGCAGTCATGAATAAAAAGTATTATGATACTAAAGCTTTTGCACATCTATCCATAGACCCTGAAACAAATATCCACTGGTTTAAGTTGCCAAATCAAATTAAAACGACGAGAAGTTAAAAAAATAAATAGCAAAGGAATCAAAATAATATAATAGCAATGATAATCGACGATTCACTAGTAAAACAGATAAACTGTGACAGACTAAGGTTTTATTTGTTTATCATTAATGGATTTATTCCATTTATTCTATTTTTGGTACAATACAGAAGTCTCAGCAAAAAGTATTTCAACAAGCTTATTTTACAAAACAAAAAGCCAATAAGTGCATACATGTATATATATTTTAAGCAACCTTCTGGAATTAAATGAAATGTTTATTAAAACGATTTTGAATTAGAATCATGTTTAGGAATACAAGATATTGAGTAGGTCAGTTCTAACAATCTGTTCGTCATAAAGTATATTTGCTAGATAAAGTATCGTACAGATTTCATATTTTTACATGCGTGCATAGATTCTAGCGTATTGACGTCAAGTTCTACCAGAAGATATACTAGGAGAAAGATATTAATGAATTGGATAGTTAGTATCTGATAAAAAACACCTCCCAGGAGTTTGAAAGATTTTAGATGTCCATCCACAAACATAATAATAATGACCTCAAAAGATACACCACACACCCTGCTAACTCCCTTCATAGCTCTTCGCAATACAGCAAAATCTTTTTCTCAAAACCACGGGGAATAATAATAAAGAACAGTAAAAAATAATAGGTAATATTCAAGAATCAACTATTTGTAAGAGTAAATGTTCAATAATCCCGAAAACATGCAGCCTCTTTATGTAGTAAGTCAGATAGAAAACTTTCTTCAATAACAATAAAACATGAGAAGAGCAAGAGAGATCAAAAGAAAAGGTAACATCAAGATAACTGACCTTCGAGACTGTGTATCAAAGAATCTCCAATAGTACAAACATTATGGGATTCCAACAGGGTGTTTAGTTGCTGTTCATGTCACAGGTAAAAGTTAACAGTTTGACATTTAAACAGATTAAGTAAGAGACCATCAACAACAGGTCACCATTTATTACGATACACAAACTCATTCATTTCTATGGGATGTAAAGAGGTAGAAATCGGCATAAATACAGTGAAATCGACCGCATATTTTACAAGTGTTTTCTGTGGAAGATGGCAGATCATGCATAAAAAAAGAGGTGAAAGAACAGTCCCATGTAGCACACTATGAGACAGTAGAGAAGTTGAACACTCTCCTCAAACAGTGTACTGTTCTCTTCCAGAGAGGTAGGAGCACAGCCAATCGGTTATCCAGCTTTCAATGTTGACGCTGATTAACTTGTTAAATAAAAGTTGTTTTGAGACAGAATCAAAAGCAGAAGTATAGTTCAGAAAAGCGCATCAAACATACTTCTTACACTTTTCCAAGCTGAACAATATGTTATGATGTAGAACAACAGTATCCTTGTAAGCGAACTGATCAGTGTGCTCCTTTAATGCAGGTTGAAGTGGGAGAATCAACAATATTTTCTACTGTTTTAAGAGATGAAGTGATTGCTATAGATTATATTTATCTTTCTCCACAACTTCGGTATGAGATTAGTTCAGAAGGGTCAGTTGAAGATGCCCGTGAATGAATAACACAGAACATCAGCACACTTTCTGAAAAGGAATTTTGAGACTTTATCAGGTCCTAAGTGATTGAAGACATTTGCGAAAATCCGCTTCAGTGAAAATCGGAACACAACTATTCTTCGAACCTGCAGATGTCGGAAGCATGACATCCGATGACTGACGTACAAAAAACTTATTTAAGTCTCAAACATTCAGCTGATTATGGCTTCTAATGAACCTCTCACCTGTAAGTTCTTAAAACAGTTTCCACATACTTGAAAAGTTTTTACGAGATAGGAGTTTCAGAGAAAACATTGAGTTCAGACGTCTCATCTCTTGGTTTGTTAGACCATTTAGCTTTCGACCTTCAATGGGGTTTTTTTCTCCTCGAGCATTCTTTCTCTTACCCTATGTAATAATTTTAGTTGTGATGTAAGTTGATCATAAATTACAATAACAATTTCAGTGGGACAACAAATATCAGAACAGAATTTAAGATAAAAAGTGACAACATGAAAGGTGTTTTCCAATTATTTATTTACAAGTAATTCCCAGTTTGTCGCACGAAACATGGTTTTCAGACTTTGGATATTTTTTCTGAGTAATTCCCATATTTCACTTTCTTTGACTGATGTAAGAGTTTAATCTTTCCAAGCTTTCAACATACTTTTGGTAGAAAACGAATTATGCAGTGATCAAAACAAAATAATGGAGCACCTTTACGAGTCACATATACTGATGATAAATATTGAACCCTTGTATTGATATTAAACAAACGACTTGTAAAGCATTTAACCAGGATTCTTGAACTGTGATTACACCACAATAAAGATATACGTTTAGACTTTGTAGGAACTGACGATAGCCCACCTTTTCCATTGATGATAGGCAGTTAGAAGTCAATAGTTCAGGAATCGACTACCGATTAATGTTCTTTTTTAATGCATTTTGCCAGCCACCACGATTTCTCTCTACTTTTTTGTAAATTCTAAAGCGATGAGTCGTAAAATTTTCATAAGTGCGCCTGAATAGGTTACGAGACTAATAGACATAATAATGTGTTAAAACAAACAAAAATACAAATTGTTGAAATATCTAGATCAGAGGAAAAGGTAACCCAGATATTCAAGTAGGCCACCTTTGTTGAAAATTGTTTCTATAAAGCTTGACACTAATAACAAACGGTCTTCATATATAAAAGCTTATCTACATTTTGCAGTGAATTTACTTGCGTATTTAAATTTCTAAGTCACACTAAAGATTTAAGTTCAGTTCAACTTATAGTGTTTTTATATTTTTGCCTAGGAAACTACTAATTGCAAACTACCATAGAGAATAATACAGCTATAAAGTTTAAACTAATGGCCTTAGATCGAACAAACTCCAATCTCCTGGGGATACATACACATTACCAACGTAACACAATCCTCATTAGTCGAAATCAACATTAATTATGTTACTTTTTGAGTTGTCTATAAAGCGAAATAAATATAAAATAATAAGAACAGTAGAAAAACTCAAGAAGCAAGATGAACAGTAGATTTTCTTGAACTTTTATAATCTAATAAACCAACAACCTTAGTAAATAACAGAAGAAAGAATAAACTGTTACATACTTGAAAAGAAACTTTGAAACAACACTATTTGTTTTGTAATATGATGGCAGAAGATAAAATCAAAATATACATTTTTTTAAAAAACATCTATTTATTAACTCACTGAAGGTTTTGTTTTTGAGAGAAGAATGATAAAATGATGGTAAATAAATTAAACTAAAAACAATTTATATCCCGTTTAGGCTAGCAAAAATATCACATAATTCCTCTATTACTTTGAGTATATACATACGAAATTTTTAAAAAAAATCATTGTTTTCAGTTATTTTAATTGTTTCATCTGACTAGGTCAAAATGTACCTACAACTAACGGAAGAGAGAGTTCATTTGTTATCTTTTCGAATAGAAACAAAAAAGTAGAAATCATTTTAAGGACATTGACGAAAGCTTAGCAAGCACTGGTATTACTATTATAACTGTCAATGAATAAATGAGCTGACAATTAATCTGTGTACATATTTTTGGTTTTTGTTGTGAAAATACAGAGAGATTATAGTAAGAACGATACAACACGTTACCAGGGGTATTAATCCATATAGAAAACTATATATATATATATAAATTTGACTATGAAAACGTCAATATTCTGGACTGACAGAAATAGAAGTACTCTAGAAAATTTCTGGAAGCGTGGAACCCAGACCAATCGGGAATCAAATGGAAAACTAACACAAATCGTATCTATCATCTTATAAGGAAAATGTCAATCAACTACATGGAGAAAGTCCGATTGACTAAGACACTTTGAGTACAAGGACGAATGAGGACAACGAAACTTATAGAAAAAAACAAGATAAACAGGACGAATTGATTTACTCCTGGTGCAATAACTAAGAAGCTCACTTCTACACAAACTACTGATGTTTTCCACAAGCACAGCAAAAATACTGTAATTAAACAATGCGGTTTAGTGAACTTAACAACACCAAAACGATTTTTTTGTGTTTTGTAATTCCACTACATTTCATACATTACCTGTTTAATTTAGCTCTTAATATGTTTATTACTTGTTCTTATTGATTTTTTCAGAATGTGTAATTTGAACTTATGATAGGAACTCGAACATTTTACAACTAAGTCAACTGGTCACTTGTATCCAACAATAAATAAAAATACTATCAAATAGATATACATTAGTGAAAGAATAATTAAGCAATATCTGGAGCTCGAAAGAACTGTTACACAAGACCAAATTTAGAATTTTCAACATAAACGTTATAACAACTCCATAGAGTAGATCTGAAACTTAGAGAACTATCACAGCTATCACCAAAAAATACAGGTATTTAAGAAAAATGTTAACGCTAGATACTTCATATCTAATGGGCAGAGACTATCAACAATAACCTACATTGGTAGCAAACAAATCAGCTGCCAGTTAATGAAACAAAGAACTTATCAAACCGTATCACAATGCAAGCCCTAACTAGGACTCGTCAAAACAAATTGAAGAGCGAAAGACCAAGGAAAAGAAGGCGCTGGAAATTAGACATATCAAAACGATGAATAGCATTTATCAACAACGAGAAAGAACCCTGGACAAAGTTGACTAGAGAACCTTGGCAGGCAGGCTACGTCCCAAGAAGAGTAAGGTGATCAGACATATTTTTACGAGACCAAATGATAGGCAATGGATGTTGACGAGTGCATGGCATTGGTTGAGCTTTAGTTCAATCTTTCAAGAGGTACAGAAACATACCACTGGTTGAATTCTGGTTCGACTATTCTAGACGTTCATCTATAATGATGAGTTTTCTGTATATATTTAAATTCTGGCTAAGAAGTCAAGCTTTCACTCAATTAGCAGGTTAGTTTCGAGTGTTGGAATCAGGTACTATAAATTGGAGGACGGTTCAACACAACACAAGCCTAAATGGGTGTAGTAATTTAACTAGTGTTGTCTAAGTAATATATCGTTTATCAAAGTACAGTTATGATATACAAAAATGTGCCAATATATAATACTTCAAACCAGGAATCAATGAAACATTTAATCGATGAAACGCAGCACTTCTACATTTAGGACCTTCGTAATAATTATAAACGTGAAGAACTAACCCATTTCTAGTAGGCAGCCATTCTACCAAACGTATCGGTTCGTAAAATATATAGTCATCTGGAACCGCTTCACCAGGGGCTGAAAGATATAAAAAAGATGATAGCAATAGTAATAATAGTAAGGATCGTGTGGATGACAATAAATACGAATGGAAACTCAATAAAAAACAATTAAGGGAAATGATGATTAGCAGTGAAAAACATGATGGCTGAACAACAACTAAAGTAGAAAGAATGTCATCAAAGTAATAATGGTAATGCGAATAACAAAGGCTTATTATTATTATTATTATTATTATTATTATTATTATTACGCGGACATAAAATACCGTCAGAATATTTGATGCTAACAATGGTGAGTGTAAAATTAAGACGTGGAAGAAAACTCATTGAAATTGATTTTATAATGATAGAGATTGGCATGAGATAGAGTAAATAGTAATGGGCATTTAGTTATCTGTGGATTTCTGAATATATATATATATATATATATATATATATATATATATATATATATATATATATATATATATATATATATATATATACATTTACTTAGGTGAATTTTTGTAAAATTCATATGAATTAAATGATGGAAATGATAATCACGAACTATATCTGTATGCTAATGCCCACTTTCAGTAATACGAATGAATAGCTGAAATTAAATTTAAATCTACTGAGAAACTAATATTGATCAGTTTTCAGTTATCTTTTCTGCTCCATAAAACTGCCGCCAGATATCATTGTGCATTAGCAAACTTTGGTACTTTACAAACGAGTAAAACCTTTAAACCATGTAACGGAGGTTTACATAGATTAATGTGATTGGAAGTCGACAAGTGAGGGGGTAATTCACGAGGTAACAAATTAAATTTAGACCTAATAACAACCAAATAATACATTCAATCTATGTAAGCTAATATTCATGCTTCTGCAGTACTCTTTTGCAGTTACCTTCAATAATAAATCCCATATGTAACATATAAGGCAGTCAGTGATATGTCGATAGCGACATTGTCATGCTATAAAAAAATCGTAGAAACACGGACATACGTTTTAGCTGATGTTACAAATAACCGTGATCACATACACCACTTAAAGATTTCAAAACATCCTTTCACACCATTGGATATCAGAATTACTGTCTTCCAATGTGACTTTTAGATGACATCATAATAAGAATATACTGATAAGTGAAAAAAATTCGTCACTGTCTTTTTAAAAGCACCATGGATGCGTATATGCAGCTCTCATTGAAAATGAACCATATATTATTCACTCACCGATTACAGTATCTCATCAATATCCTTAACAGCAATACACCCTAGATAAATATTGTTGAGCTATGAATCACTGTAAAAAAAAGTGATGTAAAATTTCGAAAACGAAAGCTATTACGACAGTGATTCTTCTAGACTAACAAGTGGTAGACATAAAAAAAAATTAAATTTTATGTATAAAGTTAATGAAATCTACAAATCCTGGCCTCGTAAATTTTTTCGTACAACACAAAGTATCAGAACGATAACAGATATGTGAGTTGACTTAAAATCATTTTTGGCTTAAATAAAGCTATGAACACATTATAACTTCTCCGGAAACCAATATTGGCTTATTTAGCTGAGTTACTACAAATCTAACTAGACGGCATGACAATACACTTTATAGAGATCAAAGTGTTAAAACTGATATTAGCTCTAGCTAAAAAACTGAAAAAGCTTTCCTACAGTTTCGCTAAACCTAACTTAGTTCATTAGGACATAAGGTTCGATAAATGATAGTAATAAGTATAGAGTAACATAAGATAGTCCAAATTTTCACTGAATCCTTCAGGGTAGGAAATCGAAAGAAATTGTATCAATAAAACAAACTGATATTTCCCACAGAAAAACATTGTTTTAGCTACAAAAAGTATGTAACGATAAAGAAATCACAACTAATTGTAACGATGTTAAATCTACAAAAAATCAAAATGAATAATTCAAATTAGTGCAACAAATCGACTTAGCTGTTACTTCAATTCAATGCTTTAGAAAGCATGAGAATGATATTTTATGCGATGGATTATCACAATAATTCACTTAATAAGGAAGCACCTTACCATGTGGGCAGATCACAGAAACTGGACGTTGTGGTTGGCGAATTAACCAAGTTGCAAGTAAACCATTATTATGCGAAGTAAGGAAACTTTTTCCATCCCAGTGCCAGACTACACTATACAAACTCTACAAAAAATGTATAGTAAAATAATCACTGGATAGAAAATAACAGTAAAAAATATACAGTTTTCATGTAACAACGACCAACGTGCTAAAATGCTACCAGAGATACTATAACCAACCATATAATGAGAAAAATAACACTAAAACAGTCATTTTTAACGGACAGAATTTGCAGCAAGCAAACGGTAAATATTATCAGTGATCCCCTGAAAGACAAATCATTACCATGATATTAAAATTAACCAATGGGTTAAACATAATGAGCGGCAAAATTCCAGACGGGCAGACATTATCGACACAGAGTTTGGCATACGTGCGTTGGCCGAAGTTGCCATATCATAAAACCATGACGAGATAGAAATAACAAAAAAGATCGAAAGAACGCAGTAATAATGATAAAAAGACTAAACCTTAGGAATATGGTTCGGAAAGACAGACTAGAAAGGTATATACGAAAGGATACTGGAATTCAAGATCGAGAGGAAGATAACGAGTGAATGGTCAATTTCAAACGATTGTGACATATCAGCAAAATTCTCCGACGATTGGTTACGACAGTCATGCGAACACCAACCATGTAGTTTGAATATAATATCATGACTGAGAAAGACAGTTAGTGACTTCATGGACCTGTAGTACATAATGGTTTGGCCTCTTATCTTTCATCAACACAAGATAACGCAGGACATCGAGGTAGGTGGTGTTTAGGCATATATAGCACATGTCCTAATGATATCATTCTGTGAAGATTAACTCTACCATCAACCGATTTATCGACTTGATCAATTACTCTATGCCTAATCTCAACATTCTCACTCGATCATTCCACAAAACCTAAGCAATTGTTCGAAAAAACCTTCAGCCTATACGTGTCTTTTATTTTCGTAGAATATGTTTCACAGCCATAACAAATTACACAACGGGCTGTTGCTCAGTACACTTGCCATTTAGGCTACAGATAGACATCTCGCCTACGCCGTAAGAGACGCAAGTTAACTAAAGGCAACCAAGCTTTCTGGAATAATGCTAAAATTCCGTCGGACACCAACCAATCAGGGACGATGAGACTCCCAAACTAAGAAAGACGACAGGCGCACTCAACTATCTCACTTCCCATCATGAGTCTATGAGTTGATGCGGACCAGTCTTGAAGCAATATTTTGCATTACGAATATCCTAATATTGTTGTTTAAGGGGGTCAGAAGACCGTATTTTGTCAGCCGCTACACCAACCAGGACCATATCATACGGGTATTGGAAGTCGATAGGCGAAACTTCTGGTATGAGATCGAACCCAGAAAGCTAAGTTCAAGAAAATATTATTTACAGTAGGACATTATTAACATAAGTCTTTTCTACATTTGTTTTCTTGAGATAGAGTGAATGGTCACACTTAGATCATTTATGTCTTTCGGAAAAACAAGATATATAAAAGGCACGAGACACTAAGGTCATAGCTAGTGACGCCTGTTGTCCGATTTGACATAGGGCTCGAATATTAAAATCTCCAACAAGTAGTTAACAGTGCGGTTTCAAAAGACCTGTGGTAGCAATTTATGAACTTAAATAGTTAGCACTGGGAGCACATTTCGAGAAGGCAGGAGGCAAATAATGAGAGATGATAGTGGAAGTATATGTAAAATTCTGTGATGGAGACAGGGATTGGTTATGAAAAAGATGATGTCATGTGCTACTAAAGGTACAAGGACAGTTATCTGATTCCGATTGCCCTTATCGTGGAAGGATATTCCTTCTTTGGAGAACCTGAGAAAGAAACTTGATTAGTAGTGACCGTACCAACAGTGGAGCGAGACTGAAAACCCAAGGAACCATTGCTTGAAACCGGTCATACAAAGTCTTCGATGTGTTAGCCATATACTTCAAAAAACTTTACTGCTCGCAACAAAAAAACGCACAGGGTAAGGTGAAATGTGGCATTTTTACCATCGACCTAATCTAACCCCTTCCTTTCATTGTTAGGCAGCATCAATGCAGATAGTGGTTGTCTGAGGGAAACACTTTATTGCTGTCACACCCCAGCACAGTCAACAGTACAACTTCGCTCTTGGACCTTGAGTTGCTGTTCTCAGTTTGACTGTTCCCTAACCGGCCTGCCAGGCATGGTAGGACCTAAGGAAACAACTGTTCTATCCAATAAAGCTCCGCGGGGGCTTTATGATAGGTGAGTGCGATCACCACGTTAAAGTAGTAGCTACAGTCGGGGATAACTGAAGTAAATGGATGCTACTTGAACTATTCGTTGAATAGTTTTGCCTATCCTTTAAGTAGACTGGTCTGAAAGTTGATCAAGATTCCGTCTTTAATTATATTAACACGTAGCATTTTATTTCCCAGTACACTAGATGATAATCGAACGTCTAGGTTAATAAATCCGCTAACTTTTGAGTGTCGTATCAAGAACCTCGTTTCCCGAAAACTCATCTGATCGAGTATGTGTAGCGATAATTTCTCTGGTTCCAGAGCTACTCGTTTTTCTAAGTACTTCAAACAGTACATTGGTGTTAACGAAGAAACTGAATACGATGTCTATTTTAGTAGCGTGACTACAATTTATACAACTTTTTATATTCCTGTTTGTCTAGGACTGTTATTCGCTTAAGTAATGTTAATCCTTGCGGTCAAGGTAGCAACTATGGTCAGGTGTCACAATCCATCAATCAACCACAATTTCGAGTTATTTTAGGGCAGCCCTACGTTTCTCGTAAGAAAAAAAAACATGTACATTACATCATGTTAGGAACGGAAAATAAAACAATAAAACAGACTTACATCTGTATGTTTGAAACGAGCATCACCCTGTTTGGTTTTTAGATCCCATAATACAAGAAATCCCGAAGAATAACCAATAAGAATCTTGTTAGTATCTTGAGGATTCTCAGCTATCTGAATAACTTTCCCCGGATGCGACGACTGAGATCTGAAAGAAATGAAATGATAACAAAATTAAATTCTATACACTTATAAAGAATTGACTGACATGGGAAGAATGTCAAGTTATGCACGATTTAGTAGGACACTTATAAAAAACTTAAAACAAGATAAAACTATAAAACAGTTTTAGCGACTACTGATATATCAACTTCATCAAACAACTTATTTAACTGATGTATGACCGAATATATTTAATAACGACCGGTTGAAACAAACTGCGCACAAATTACTTATCGCACAAACTGAACTTAAAGCCATAAATAAAATTGCTGTATACGATATGATGCTCAACAATATTGTTTCATTGATTAATCCAGTCAACTACTCAAGTGTTAATCATAATCAATTCTCTTAGAGGTACCATTTTCGAAAAATTAGAAGTTAGGTAAACTACAGGGAATTCTTGTAAACGTTATTAATATGTTGACGATAACGTACACAATATGGTTAAAATTATCTTTTCTGGTAATTAAGCAGAGATGGATGGTGGCTAGCCGTGGAATCCTTTTCAACTTATATGCGATTCATCAGCTGGATGTAGCTGCATCGCAGAGTTGATATCCACTCCCTTAGCTACTGGATCCATGTGGCCACGGGCTTGTGCAATGGAGTGACGAGTCGCAAATAGGGCGAAACGCAAATCCTTGAGTCCACTGCTAGCAACCATCCATCTCTGCTTAGAATGCATATAAATTACTGACACTATCGAGGAAATCTGCACAGGATGAACATATACCAAGAAAGAGACTAATTAATTCCAGTCTTAATCATCAGTGGGAAGATCCAAACAACAAACATGTATGAATTAAAATTATTCTGGCATTTGTTTTACTTACAGATCGATAGCCTTGTTCCAATTAATCACATAGCCCGATGTAGTAAACCGTTGAACACTTATGAAATTCACGTTGCCCTTATCAGTACCCAAATAGAGCCAACTGCTGCCAACAGGAAGATGACCGCAGGTCAAACTGTGGTTACAGAAACAAGAATAAAACATAGAATCCAAAGAGACTTTATTTTAATGTATGGCTAGTTTATCAAAAGCAGCAATAAAATTTACAACTAAAAGAACATTTTGAATGATAGCAGTTCCCAACATTTCTATGATTACCATAAAAACGAAGCTTCAAACCAGGCAGTCTATAAAAATTAAAAATTCTAAGGTTATGCATACATTACACAAAAATTCCTGTTCCATTGTAAACCAAATTAGCTAGACTTACTAACCAATTTTCTTTTCAGTAGGATCATTCCGGTTTTTATTAAGGACGAAGAGTTAAACTCTGATTATGTCCTTTCGTACTACTGCTACAAACGACTTAATTTTACTGTCAGTGTGGCAGGATGCATCCAAATAAGGACAGACGCATTTTGAATTCCACATCTAACCACAACCAAAAAATATCATGAATCCCTTATATTCATGTTAAAAAAAGTACAGCAAATTATTCTGAAGTGTTATGTTTATGAGCAAACAATGTAATTTCGTATGGAAAAATGTTCCATATTTGGAGCAAATAAAATTCCATTGTACTATCTCTGTAACATACACCGTTACCAGTAACATATATTCCCTGTTTTTCTTCAAATAACGATTACACGAATATCTCTCATAAAACGAAATACTATACACAATTAAACATTTTACATCCATCTTGCTATAGGTTTAAACAAAAATTCATTTCTGACGTGTTGTCCATTTGCAACCATTTTCCTGAGGCCTGCTGCCATTTCACACAAAGGAACATAGTTTATCACACAAAACTAAATTTAGAGTATTTTCTGATTGTATCCTCTTATATAACTTAATAATGAAGATCAAGCAGTGACAAAAACTGGTTGTAAACAATTCAAACTAATAAAACGCAGTCGCAGTTCTCTAAAATCAATTTTAAAACTCTCAATCTTCGAACCCTATGGCGGATCAGATAAGAGGACGAAACAACGGAAGTATAATTGCTGGGAGAAAGACATTGTTTTATGTCACGATCCCCATATTAACTTAACGACAGACGAAATAGGTCACTGGCCATTTCTGGAGGATAAAAGATTACTATCCAGTGTAGACCAGAGAAGTGGTCTTGAGGATCTCTTGAGTCTCAACATAAAGAAAAAGAGCATTAAGATTTTTCCTCTAATTAGGTTAAAAGTTAATACAAAAATGATAACTTCATGTATCGTAGATTTATTCTAACCCGTTCAAACTTAGTATAACACTTCAGTAAGCAAATTAGAATAATCCTACACAGATAACCATCAAACATTTGTTGAGTTTACAAAAATTCTCTTCAGAATATGTCTGCGCCGATCCCTAATCACAGTGATTGAAGGTAGCTGGTTGTCAAACGCTTTATATATTTTGGAAATCTGATAAGACATGAGAGGTGAATGTTTAGTAAAAAAAGCAACGAGAGTATATACAACTTGTCGATTTTGAGATGATTTATGCCACCGGTAAAGCATCCCAGCTGTTTACCTGTCTACAAAAGTTCAGGAAATATTCTGTATCTTTCTTTACGAGAGACAATATAACCCTCGCAGACAGAATACATGCGTAGGTTGGGAGATTTCAATAGTATGCATCTCGTAACCACCTAATCAGCAGGTACATTTCCTCTACGATTGGGAAATCTATTGTGAACCTACATCAACTATGGTAATGGGTACGTTTGTTACACTCGTTTAGCCATTCTGTTTCCTAAGCGTAATCTACCGCCAGTTGTAAGAGTTGAAAGAAATAACAGACCAAAACATAACATCAATCCATGAAGAGATTATATAAGTTCAGACATCATATGGTTTATAGGATAGATATAATCAGTGTTTCAAAACCATGAACATCGGTTCAAGATCACCTGAAATTGTGGAGGTGTGTTTGTTCTTTATTTTTGTTTGTTCTTGTACCATTCGTATCAAAATGACTCCTTACTTCCCCTTTTAGTTAAATTAATATCGGTATACTATGAAGTCCGGCAAAATCAATAGGCATCTATGACAGATGGTAGTCTGAAATTGTTTATCCCTTTCTGTTTATCGAAATAATCTTATTTGTGTAAGGCAGTTTCAATCACAAAAAGGAGTGAAACAATTCGACATAATTTTCAGTGGGAACAGTCCAATACAATAAGTGAAAAAAATTACAGAAATATTTGTTTTCTGTTTTGTTCACAATCTATTTATTCTTATTATATGGCTTTAAATAGACGTTAGTTTTTCTTGTGTTTTTCTTCAAATATGGGCTTGTCACTGTGATAATTAAGTATTCTTGATATGAATAAAGAAATCGACCACACGAATAATTTTGGATGAAAGATAATATCTATGTACTAATAAAAGTGAACCTAATCAAAGCAAATAAAACCTGATTGGATGAAAACCTCTTACGCCTAAATAAAGAGAAAAATGTATTACTTATTAATTCAAATCGCTTACAATGAGAATATTTTTCAAATAACTAATTATAACAATATATTCGCACGAATTTGGGTTTAAAGTAGATTGAACTGCTCAGAAGAGTGCCATTAAATCTATACTTAGATTATAAGAGCTGAAGATATTTCAATATTATTATTCACTTAAATAATTTGAACAGTTGAAATAGTGGGAATTGGTTTCCATTAAAAAGACTCAAAATATAGTTGAGCATAATAACGGTGAACGCAAGAGATCCTAAATTCCGCTTATTAACAAGGAACACTTCACTAAAACATAAGGAAGTATGTCTAATTAAGGTGTTTATGTGTTTCCTAGTTCTTTTTATGAATGCGCAAAGTTTTCTTATCGTGAACACAACACGATATTATTAACAAATAATTTTGGCATTCGAATGTTTTTGACTAAGTTCCAACCTACGTTACCTAACCAAACCATTGTAGTACACTGCATAATGTGATAGTCAGTAAGAGTGTACGATCCATCACTTCAACTCATGGTATTTCATCTTATTTATCTCTCGATGAAAACATAAGAAATTCACAAAACTACTTATTATTGATTACAATTTTACAAAGATTAAGGAAGAAAGTACTGACGATGCAATAAGTGTATCCAGGATTCATTTGTTTTATTTTCAAAACTGCAAAAATATCTAAAAAAATAAAACAATTATTATTATTGCCCACAGAATAATGACTGAATATCCAGAGAGTAAAGTAGAAACGAAACCATTCCTTTTAGCCCCCCGATCAGGCTTAATAAATCTTCAAGTATATCTTACTAAATTGATTGCCTTTGAAGTGTTTTTGTTCACGGCGTTTATGGACATTCTGTTATTTTTTTAATAATTAAGGTCGCTAAATTTAATGTTTCATGGGAACATACAAATATAGTTCTAAAAAGACTATGTTTGCTCACATAAATATGTACAAAAACTTTACATTGAGTTTGCTTAATTTCATAATATCATTAAACTATAAGAACTACTCTACGCAATTATCGTCGTAATTTACGACATAAACAGAATTTTTCAACTAACAGTTGTTACATAAGTACCAATGTCATGAACACAAATTTACTTTAATAGTCAAATTTGGATACAATTAGGATTTTATGCATCGAAATAATTTGCTGGCGATAACCGATTAATAGTTTCATTATAATATGATATATATACTAATACTTCCTCAAAAAAAACTTTTCTCTAGACGTAAGTCAGAAGAGTTATGATTGAGAAATTTCTTTCAAAAATCCAGTTTCCATCAGTTAAGTAGTTAATAATCTTCAAGATATAACGAACGTTTATATACATAAATTAACTAATAAATACAGTCAACCTACTCTGATCGGTAGGTGAACACATGATCTTCGCACAGCAATATAAGATAATTAAAGCGAGAAACGTAATTCATTGGGTGGCAGCCCATTAGAAGTCTGGAGGCAGCCTGCTGATGGACCTCGAGCTGCTGGGCTCGATCCCTAGGAATTTCGTGAGAGCACTGTTGACGACTACCAAACTAAAATGGAACATCTGCTTAGTGTTCACTTGTTCTCCAAGGTTGTTCAACTTTCTTTAACTGAGTTCTGTTGTTGAAATACAAGGAATCCACTGTTTAGACAAGCAACTTCTTTTTCATTTAACGTTATGAACAAAATGAAAAACGATATTTACAGACTAAGGTTGGAATCATGGTCTAGTGTAAAACCACGAAATAAATATCAATTAACAATGAATTTTATCATAATGAAATTCCTGTTGCGTAATCCAGCAATCATATCTCACTACTTTTAATTTACGAGCCCATATTTTCAAACTGACACACATGATTTGTGATACAGTGTAATAAACAAAATTAGCTAGCCCTAACAAGACAGTGGCAGTAAAGTTGGACCACAATATATTTGAATCAATGAGAAGTTGGATTTTTCATTATACCGATGAGCAAACACCGTTCGTTTTTAAAGTATTTAGTTAAATATAGACGACAAAGAGAAATACTAGAATGATCATACTGTATGAAAATATATTTTGATCAACACAGTACTCAGGTATATATCATTAACTAGTAATACTATATTTTTAGTTTGAAAGATATAATCAGTCTAGTTTGGTGAATAAAATATTTAACTATGTAAAGAAGAAATTGAACACATGACAATATCAACTTCTCGCAAAAAGCTCGAAGAACTAACAAGTACGTAATATGTAGACTACAGATGAATATGTGACCAAGTCAAGTTTTTTTACATATAAGCCAGAGCTTAAATTAATAATTTAACGAGACTAATAAGGACTTATTTGGTAAATTGAATAAAGATTGAACAAAATTATTAATGCCATGTTCAAACAATTATGAACATAAAAAGTATATGTTTTTTTTAAATTATGATCTTATTTGATTGCAGAAATATAAGTAAAATTGGAATGAGTAAATATATCTGAGTCAACGGAATAGTTAGTTACCTAACCAAATTTCATCCTACCGACTCATGAAATCCACTAGTCTGAACTTTGATATTTAGCCACTTCATG